AATTTGTGTGGGATGGAAGAAACAACTTAGGAAGAGCAAAAGTATTACAAAAAAAGAAGAAAGGAACAAAACTCTCAAAATTGTTCCCGAAGGCACAGCTCCTACAACTGGGACTACGTGGTTCTCCCTGTCTGCCAGCCAATCCTAGCAGCCAGTTTTCTCCAGCATTTTCAACTTGTGCTACCAGCAGTGAGCAAAGGGTATGCAGGATTTCCTGAGAGACCTTGGCATTTGTGCTTTTGTCTCTACTGGAGACATGCCATCAAGTTGTACACTGCTGCTCACTGCAGAGTCAGAACTGAACAGAAAGGGAAAAGCTTGCAAGTACTTCTTAAAACTTCAGATTGATGTTAATACACCTAGGTAATTAATATAGCTTCTCCAGTAGCAACTCCACTAAAAAAAAATGCCTCCTATTATAAATCAGCCACCTTGTCCAAAAAGCTCCAGTCAGTGTTTCTGCATAAGCTCACTTCTTAATTGGTGCAGCTTCCTTTCCATAATTAGCAACAGTATAGTTTAAATTAAGAGGCTTACAGACAAGCACAACATACATTAGTATATCACCATCTTTACTGACACTGAGTATTTCATCTAAGTCATCCTTTTACTACTAAAAGGAGAGAAGCTAAAAGCATAGCTGTTAACTTCTCTGCCTCCAGCTGGGCTGCGTTCTGTGGGCAGCCCAGTCTGCATGGGCTGAAATTTAATCACCAAGGACATCTGGCAACTCATTTGGGATTTTTGGGGCTTTTTCCTTCCATACTTCAAGTTTGCTCTCCACTTAACCTCACTGAAGTAAAAAAAAAAAGCTATCAGCACAGTCTATTCCTCACCTACTCGTTGTCCTTTCCACAAAGGATTTCTGAAGTCTGTACTCTGTATTACATTCCTCAGTATCTTCTTATAGTATCAGCACTCCATTCCAAAGATACTCTGGCAGACAGTATAATTGTACATTTATTGAACTTATTTGTTAAACCTCACTTCAAATGTCAAGAATGTAACTAAACTGTTAGCTCACTTCTCAGATAACCTCTGACTACGGTGTAAACTCCCGTGTTGTCCACCAGGCACATTAACTGATGCCAACACCCTGGTAGCAGGGCAAGATTTCTTAAAAAAAAAAAAGAAGATACTAAGCAACTGGGACGCTGAAACCTGAAAAATAAGAAAAAAATGCCTGTTCTTTTACAGCATAACTAAGCACCTAACTTGCACTGCATTCTCTTCTCAAACCAAGAGTGCAATTTAGACAAATGACAGTGTCACAAAAATACACAGAACTTTTAGGAGAAAACCACCTGTAATCTAAAAGTATTAAAGTACGAAAAGTACCATGATTAATGGATCAGACTTATCTCAATATCTGAAAAAGAGTCTGAACAGTATTAGTATTTTGGAATTGTGTTTTGGTACTTTTGTTTTTCAGAAAAACCAAAGGAAGCCAGGAGATGCTTATGGACCTTTTCGAGTTCATAAAGCAAAATTATGGCTACAGTAAGCAACCAGAAGCAATAATAAAATACATCTCCTTTCCTGGTTCAGGTATTTGTAAAATTTGTACACTGCACCATTAGATTTCGGTTTAATTAAAAAAAGCTGCATTTCTTGCCCAAATCAAACACCATGTGTAGTTGCAATCAGTTTTTTTTCGACCATGAGTCTCACCTAGCAGCACAAGGCACCTAACTCCTACCCAAACTGCAACAGGTTATCCCAGGGCTTCTCCTAAAAAAGAAAAAAAACCAAACCCACATCCCAAGAACATTTCATCCTTCTCCATAGTCTAGATGAGACATTGGAACAACTGTAGGTGAACCACCTCCACTAACCCGTGGCGTGGGAGGGAATGTGCAAATTCACTTTGCTTTACTGGGGAGGGAGGGGAGGAGAGGTGGTGAGGTGGTGCACCCCTGTGAACTTCATTTGGGAAAAAAAAGGTAGGAAAAGACTGAGGCTCACTACAGCATCAGAAAATCAGCAGACTTGAGCAGTCCAGGGGGAGAACCATCATCCCACAGCCAGTCCCTTGCCCCTGACCTCAGGCCCCTTCAGAAGCCAAAGGCAATCACGGCGCCCAACCGCGAGCTCCTCGGCACCGCGGCTCCTGCTCCCACCTGACAAGGTGATGCAACGGCTGCAGAGAATTGTTCCCTGCTTCATGTGGAGATGGTTGTTGTTCAGCACTTCCAGCTCATTACCTCCCTATCTCCCTTCTTGTCTGCTCTGCTAATTGCTACATCTTGAACTCGGAGTGCCATGGGAGCCTCTTATAAAATATACCCTGACATTGCTCTTTTACAGACCCCAGGAGACAAGTCTGCGAAGTAAGGCAGCACTCCCTGGGAATAACACTGTATTCATTTACAACCAAGCTTCAAAACGTATTATTTGGTTTTTCTATCCACACCAAAATCTACACAATGCAGCAGAAATTTTGTGTACTTGTTTCCATAAGGGAGGAACAGAAGTAGAAATGTATTTCTAAAAGGAAACAGTTCTGTTGCTAACTAAAATACTGATAATCACATTCAGTTTAAAAAGGTTTCTGACTGTAATTTTTAGAAACTATGTAGCTACCTAAAAAGCTCCTCTAAAGCAGCCAATATGATGTCCAGGAGTTGATCTACCTTTCAGTTGCTTTCCACCCTAATTTTTCAAGTAGCAGTAGTCATACAAACAGAAGGAAAGTTCCTCCATAAGAACCTCCCTTACCTTTCTGCTGTTAATGATCCTTAAGAGTGAGAAATTAATGCTTGTACTTAGCAAAGAAAAACCAACCTGTGCTAACAAAATCTGCACCAAAGTTCATTCTGGTGTGCAATAACTTGAACCCTGGAAAGCATGCTTTGGCCAGGGGAGGTTCTGCAGTGCTACAGAGAACTAGGATCCGTGTTCCAGTGGTCCTTGTGCCCCATGGTACTGCATCCTTGTGCCTCCTTCCTAACAGCGTGTATCAAAAACCACTGAGAGGCACAGAAATCCCCAAATCAGTACCAAAACTGTGTCGTGGTCATCATACATCATCCTGTGTCTTCCAGGAAGCTGAGACACCACGACAGCCCAGTGCTTTGCAACACACACGTCACTATGGTTTGCAGGTACCAGAGGAGTTATTTCTGCCTCAGGTTACACATTCCTGCGTCTGTAGTTACCCTCAGCATGCAAACTGTCTGAGGAGTCAACTCCCATCAAGCATTTTGATGCTACTTGTACTGGAAATACAGAAGTAGGTGTAAGGATCATGCTCCCTATCAACACATTGCACCAGAATCCAGCTCCAGAGCACCAGGACTTAACACCTCAAGCAGTTTCATGGCCAAGGAAAACAAAACTGGAAGGACAGGAGCAGAAGAGAGAACTCGTGGTCAAGTGTGCCACCAAGAGGCAAAATCAGCAAAACCGAGTGAGGTGAGGAAGAACAAAAGAGCAGCATCAGTGTGGAACCCCAGAACTCTGTGCCATGTGGCCCCTGCCCTCATTTCAGCACCCTTACTTAACTTCTGGGTGGTGACTCTGCACAAGGACCAAAATCCAATGTGCACAGCAGCAGAAGCTTAAAAACTGTGGAACTGTTATTAACTCTAAAATGCAATAAACAGGGTAAAATCAGCTTGGTAACAACGAGCTCCATATTTTAAACATCTCCCAGTTTCTATGTAGGGATTGGTTCTCCAGGAGGCAATCAGATCTCAGACAGATAGAGCATGGAACTGAAACAACCGAACACCTCTGAAAATCTGGCCATTAGACACAAAACAACTTAAGTCTTCAAGTGACTGGCATTTTCTACCCCAATAGCCCTCTGTTGGCAGTGGCTGCCATACTGATTTAAAGGGGCTTGTTTTCCAGTAGCAAAATGAGTTGTTGGTTTGTTTTTTTTTTTTTAATCCCATCTATGTCAGGTTTTACAGTTTCTTGAGTGGTGAGTTTTACATTAGAGAGTTTAATACAGTGTGGTTTTTAAAATTCAGGGCATCTGATCGTAATTGGTGTTTTTTTTTCCCTTAGTGGAATGAAGTTACTCTGTACACCAAGTGGTGTTAAACTGTCTGAAATCTGGGTGGTATTAGTGAAGGAGTAGTGAGCTCTTCATTACTCTCAGGTAGCACACTAAGAGTGGCAAAAAGAGGAATTCCCACTGCACCTCTCTTTTACTCTACTTGTGCTTTAGAGATGGTAGATGCTTTTGGGTTTTTTCCAAGTTGCAGCAGCAGACAGGACTCTCAGGTTTTTACAGAAGAAAATCCTTTCTAACCTCCCCCCCCATTACCTATTTAAAAGGAAGATTTTTCAAATGGTCTCACTTTTCAGGAGGGGAACTGAGATTCAGAGGGCAAGAGTCTGGTACCAGTTCATTATTTCTCTCTTCCATCTCAGAAATACCCAAACCTGTGCATGTCTCTGCCTGCTGGGTCACTACAGCACCAGAAACTGCTGTGGGAAGCAGCTGAATTGGCTGCACCAGGATTTACACAGGGGTCTGTGTGCCCTCTGCTGGCATCTGCAGCATGGCTCTACCCATTGCTCTCATGAGACTATTTTAAGGAAGAAAACTCGTACAGCTATAAAAACATGGGAAAGTTTTTAGATATCCTCCATTTTGTTTAAAGAGTATTTCTTACAGTTTTGGTAAATATTTAGCCATTTGACCCAGCTACTAACCATGCAATGCAGGTGGACAGAAACTCATCACTGAGATTATTCTCTTCCTCAGAAATTGCAGGAAACAGGAAGAAATACCAACAATCATCTGTGATGGAGTTGTGACAGTGAGTTACAAATAAGTAGTCGCTTAAAAATGTATAACTGGGAGACCAAAGAGAAAGTTAGGACTATGTAACCTAAAGCAAGGTCCAGTCTAGGCTACATGGGGTAATTTCATGCAACTACTATGGCCAAGCACTGCATCTGTTCTGCTTCAGATCTTCCAGTACAGACACTTCCATCAGCACACAGGAACAAATGTAAGTTTTGTATCAAAGTAAAGCCTGTACCTGGTCTTCACTGGTTAAGCCAAGGTGCATCACAAAATAAAAATGAACCAGGAAATCAGAATTTGGCAGCACGTCCTGGCGCCTGGTCATCATAGCGCAGATCAGCCGGTACGCCTGAAGTTTGCCCTCCTTGTATTCATTTGGCAGAGTGGTTGCCTGAAAAGAGCAAAATCCTTGTATTATTGCTTTTTTCTAGTAGTCAGCTAAAGCAAAACTGTATCTTCAGCAGGTTTCCCACAAAACAAATCTGTTCTCTGTATTGATTTGAACAGATCTGAGTCCAAATAGCCTTTGGAGGGTATTTGTCATTTTAGCCAGCAGTGACTGCAAAAATTAACTCAATTAAACACACACAAATTCAGTACTGATAACAGACAGAAATACTGATGTGTGGAAATTTAGAAATAACTCACCTTAAACAGCCATGATGCAAATATTCTGAGAGGGGGAATCAGGACAGGAGGAGAGGGAGTAGACTGATTGTCCACACTTATAGCAAGGTTGTCCCGGATCTAATGGGTTTAAATGAAAAGAGTTAATAAATCTGATAGTTTGATTAATGCTCTTTATTTCATATTAACACATTTCCATTTTATTTTCTTTACCTTAAGGCACTATAGTCTGTGCTACAGAGTTCCTGCTTAAGCCAGCACACTCAGGAAAGTTGTTCTGTAGTGCTTCCCCACAGCCCAAGCAAATATTACCATTTTGGGTCACGCCATGGGCTTTTACACCACATACCAAAGTCTGTGGCAGTCTACTCTATGCCTCTGTTTTCTTTGCTACTGTCTCTGCATGCTATATAAATTAACCAATCTAAATTCTCTTGTCATTGCACAGGAAGAGTCTCTGTTGGGGATACCTACTGGAAATCAAACAAGATAAGCTTTCTTAATGTCAGAACCCTCCAAATCTCATGCTTAGGTTCCACGTGCTAATACTAAATCACGTGCAATGATATTTTTTACAACAAAAGAAAAATAATTACAACTAGGTGCAAGCATCGTATACAATACCTTTGCAAGTTTATACCACAGCTCATAAAGATAGCCAAAAACTTTTGCATGGATTTTAGGTGACTGTATGTTGTTCACATCTCCAAGAATTCCCAGGATCCTCCTCCACAACACAGCAGCAGAATCAGGATGCCAGCCGATAAGGCTTCCACCAGCAATTATACTGCAGTCATCAGCAAGGAACTCACTGCTGTCTGTAAATTTAAAACAGTTCCATTGCCATGAATTAGAAATAGGGTGTAAGTGTAAATTTGGTCAATAAAATGGGAACATTACTCCTTCTAACCATCTTCCACTTCAAAAATATTCTCTCCACCAAATCTCCTCTCTCTTTTTCATGGATCAAGCTAGCACGTGATTTAAAGAAAGAAAGGGCAGAAAACGCAAGCTAAAGGGCCTTCCACATTGAGATGACAGCTCTGGATCAGTTTTATATCAGACAAACTGCACCCACTCAAGGCTGGTATTTTTTTTTTCCATCAGGGAGGCAAATGCAGTTAAATGGAACATTCATGTACTCAGAGATTTATTCAATCAATAACTGGCTTTTATAAGTAGTGTTTCTATTTCTAAAAGTCCTTTCTTTTTTAAGATCACACAATATAAAATGACCTGGAAACGGAACTGAACAGGGGAACGAAAACCATGTGCACTGCCAGTGATGAAAGACCTGCTTGGGCCTTATTTACAGAGTAGCAGCTCCTGAGATAGCAGTGTGCAAACCAAGAAGGGAAGCAGGGCTCTGTGAGGACTGCCAGGATAACGGAATTAACATGCTTAAACAGTAAAAGAAAAATTCCATAGTGAAGTGCAAATTGTAATGGTAAGAACTGCTACAGTTTCCTCTGTCAGACCAGGGAAAGCTGAGCACAAGTGATCACCTGTCACAGCTCAGCTCATTAGCAGTCACTTGACACAATAAGAAATCCCACTATTTTCAACTGTGTCATCATTTCCTAGGCCAGAATTTATTGGCACCTGTGTCAGATGCCAATCTGATTATCCAAACTCCTTAAACTCTGGCCATTCAAGTATCATTTTTGAATAGACATTACAGACAAAACATTTTCTGGACGACAGTACCTGTTAGATTTGCTGTATCTGAAGGACTAAGCTGCAGCCAGCGTGGGGCATCGGGCTCCAGGCAGACATCTGCTGGTGCGTGACCCTCCTGGGGGTCCCCAGGCGCCTGCCAGGGGCCGAGGGCGATCTCCACCTCGCTGCTGTAGCCAGCGGACGTGTCGCTGCTCACGCTGGCACCTAGAGCACGGGGGCACGCGTGAAGGTCACAACCTGCTCTCAAACACTGCATCAGCAAAGCAGGATGAGAAAGTGTCTAATGTATCTGTAACAAGACAAAATTATGACACTGATTTCACGCACTGCGCTTCAGAAAATTATGCATTTCTTGGAACTCACTTTTTTTCCTCTCTCTGTAATTTCCATGTGATTGCTGCAAGTCTGCTTTCAAATCTAACTCAGCCGTGCTGCTGCTTCTGTGTCCCAGCACCTGCAGAGAAAAAACAAAGTGATCCCAGCTTATTACAGCTTCGAGAACTACCTCACGTTTCAGTGAATTCCAGAGACACTGTCAGTTATTAGAAATTAACAACTCAATCAAGATATTTTCATTAATATTTAGACTACATAAACATCTGTACGTGTCTTAAGGAAACCACTGTGCTTTCAGCTTGAGCTCTATCCTCCCTTCATTGAACCCACACCAACAAGCAGGACATTTTACTTACATCCTTCCACAAATATGAAATAATTCAATACTTTTTAAAGTATCAAAAAATATTCCAGAAAGAAATTACTAATTGTCTCTCATGTTGGGGCATTACCCTGTTGCAAAACAACATATGCAAAGAGACCTGAATGCTTGTCAATATTTTATAACACACGCCGCTAAAACCGAATGGGGAGCCAGGTTAATTTTTAATTCCCCCAACTACTGAGCTTAATTCTGTCCCCTCCCCACCACCCTGCAAAGCAGAACAGGTTTTCCTGCCCTTTTCAGATGCTCCTGAAGCAATTAGTGAAAGCACTCTGCAGAAAATGGCTGGTGTCTCCTTTCTAGAGCTGAGTGTTAATGGTACTTTAAGTCTATAGACATATGGGAGAGCCAAGGTCCAAAGATGAGATTCAGCCAGAATTGCTTCATGCTGTTTTGCATTTACTTCTACAAAGATGACCAGCCTCAGACTTCTTTAATTTCTACCACTGAGTCAAAAGTTGCATTACAAATGTAGAGTTTGCCTGTCCTAAAGTTAACTTACACAAACATCTGCAAAACATGGCTGGTGATACAGATCATGCTGAAGGGAAGTGTTTTCCCCAGCACTTAAAACCATCAAATATTTATTCCACTGTGCTGTAGCTCTATAATAGCCATGAATTATTTACAGTTTAAAAGTTAGTAACTTCTTGTTTATATTTAATATTAAAAAGCACAACAGTCTTGCATAAGAGTAGACTACAGCCAATGACATAAAACTGCATGAGCAACTGAGGAGGTCAGGAGACAGAACGGCCACAGCAAACAGCAAACTGACCAGCCACAGCTCAGCCCCAGATCCTGCAGCAGAAACGTGATTAAAGGACTTTCCACACTTCCAGTTGCTAGAGCATCTAAATACTAAATGGCACGTGACGAGAAATAAAACATTGTTAGAACCTTCCCAATGACCACCTTCTGGTTTGCCTTACTTGATCAGCTTCATGTTCCTTCTTTGTGCATCCCTTATTCTCCTGAACCAATACGGAGTCGGAAGAAGTTAAATTATGAGAACTTCCAGCTTTTTTACCTAGAAATTTTAGAAATTAAGCAAGAAATAAGACATTTGTGGGACAAAAGTATGTAGCAAATCCTATGAAAATTTCAACTACGTCTACACGGATGCTTCTTATATTTATAGTCAAATGAAGCAATACAACTTTGAAACATAATACAAGATGAACAGAAGTAGAACTGTTAGCCTGAATACACAAAATTCAAATGCAAGTCAGATAAAAAAGTATGAGTTACATACAAAAGACACATTCAAGGTTTCATTTTTAATGGCAAGATGGGACCTGCCTTACAGAAAAGGTCACATCCTGTGTTTTCAGTCTGCAACTTCTTTAAAATAGTTCTTTCAACAAGACATCGACAATAGATTTACTGACCATATGAGATAAAAACCATTCTAGAACAGAGCTGGAAACCAAAGTAGGTAAGAGCATCATATGCAAGGCTGAAAAATCTCAGTACTTTCTATTCAGAGGTAGAGTATCAATGTATTTTATCAAAATTACCTTGAAAAAAATCAGATGGAAACTGATCTGTAATATCTGAAGTGCTGCTGCTTCGAGTCAGCTGCTGCTCTTGGTCTGCATATAGGCCTGTAGCTTCTGTTCCTGTTGAATTTTCAAGCTGTTGAGATTCTTCAACTTCTGTTATTTAATGAAAACACAAGACGTTTGCAAGACCTCACAATTATGTACACGTACGAACTCCTTTACATAAGCAAGCTATAAAAGAGACCCATTTAAATATTTAAAATTCCCAAGTCACAAAATTAGAATGTAACTCCTAGTTACAGAGTTAGAATTTAAGATTTGTAAAATGTCTTTAGAAAAACTGTAAAGTTTAGAGAGAGATGTATGAGCAGTGTCAATGGTAAAAAGTCTAGAAAATGGACAGAAATGACTTTGAGGGTTTGGAGTGCACAAGGAAGGGTGGGAGGACGTGATGTGAACAAAGCTATGTGGTTCAGAGCTAGAGACCCAAACTCGACCCTGTTCACTCTGGTGGCACAGCTACTATAAATGCAGAGTTCAGGAGAGACAGCTCTGCTTACTGACTCTTCCTCCACAGAGAGGGGAAGTGGAGAATAAAAAAGGCTACAATTCAAAAGGAGTAAAAAAAGATCTGAGCTACATATGACTCAGGCTTAGTTTGTGAGAACAAACTGAACTGTGCAGCTTTTTTTTGCTGTAACTGCAACTAAGAAATACAAAGAGGAGACAGAGGTGTGAAACTCAATCGAGAAAGTAAACTGACATGCTAGGGAAGGAGCAACAGGAACTCTTCTACAACACAGTATGTACAGAACACATTTCCCTAAAATTCCCACTAAAATGCCCAAAGCCAGTGTTTGCTGCCTTTAGTTTTTGCATTCCTAATCCTATTTGGACTGCACTGTATTAAAATTTTAACAACTGCTTAGAAATCTTTAATAAATCAAGTCATTGAAAGTGTAAACATGAATAAAAGGATCTCTTTATAAAGAAATTACAATAAATTTTACTTCAGTTACCAGGGGATATAAAACTCATTGTAATTCATGGTAATCTTTAATATTAAAATGAACAATAACTGCATTGTTTGCAGTACTACAAACATTTTACGCAAAATCAAACACTATCTAAGAACTAAAAGGCACAAACAAATCTTTCAGATTTGCTTCTGGAATCAATAATCACAGGAAGAATCCTTCAGAAGAAACAAACCCCACATCTGTAACCGAGCGTAACAGCGATTGAAAGATATTTTTCTTTTAAATCAAGTAGTTCAGCCATCTGCATTTCTTCAGCTGCACTAGCTCAGACATTCAAGCATTCAAGTAGCTTCTGCAGCAGTTCCTTGAAGAGCTTTTGCTCTTCTTTTCCCTGAAAAGATCTCTCATTTTGGCCATGAACCCAGTGACAGAACAAGTAGCAGGCATTACAAGTAGCCACTTTTTGCCACCCTTTGTAACTCTGGAGAAGGACAAGTTATGTTCCCATCAAACCTGCTCGCCTCGTACGGGGACCAAAACTACTTAACACCACGTCTGGAACAGGTCTGAGGCACGGGGAACAGACCCAGTGCAAACCATCTCGTTCCACACTGCTAAAGAATAACCAGCTGGACAGAAAGGGATTAGACAGACAGCAGTTTAAAAATATAAAGAACATTTATATAAAAGATGACTTTAAAGTACAGTACCTGACAGTCTGTGAGAGCAAGAAGTGTAAGAGATACCAGGTAAGAGAGAGCTCACAGTGTGAAGCAGGAGAGGGACACTTTTAGTGGCTGGCAAAGCCTCATAAAGATGAACACAGTTGCTGATAGACTGGCTTCGCTTAGCTTCCAGGGAAAAAATAAAGCAATAAATATGTCAGAAAAAATAACTCATTATCTGGGGTTCTGAATGTCATGATACAAGGAAACAAAATGCTTTTGGAAAAAGAAATCATTTTACAACATTGTCATAAGCTTAAAGTCTCCTTTAGAGAAAAGCAGCAATTTATCACCAACTGTATCACTAACAGTTCTGCTGAGTTACACAAGCCTCTAACAAATTTACTTGGAAAAACTATTTTTATTCATACTGGCAGTAATTCAAGACATCTACACACAGGTTCACAACATCTCATCTAGGCATTTCATTATGAAATTGCACAACTTTTGGAAGCAGCCACAACTCAAAGGCAGCTTGAAAACTTGAGTGTCACTGAGCATTTTGGCACGTGAGCATGCAGTTAAGGTCTAACCTGTCGCTCTCTGACGAACAATATTTCTTGCCTTCTCCACTCCTGGGGCTCCAGAGGTCGTAGCGCTTCTGAACCTCATCGGCTCCACAACATCAGGATGACTTTTCCAGCTTAATGAAAAAGATCTTCCCACTACAGCTGTCTTCTGAGGCTCTAACATGCCACCTTAGAGAAAACAAAATTCTGTACCATTGTATGCTTTGGCACATGTTTTTGCTGAAGTACAAACAGACTTAGAAGCTCTCAGACATGAAAAAAATTAAGCTTTTAAGCAACGCAGAGGAGTTTTGACTATTAATACAAAAACAATCATCACTTCAGCTACGTGCATCAACTGCAAGGTGGCACATAAATGTAGCTAAAATGGTGTAATTAGCAAAGTTTAATAAAAATGCATGGAAAAGAGTTTTCACATTGATGACTATGCCAGACTGCAGCACAGGAAACCACTTTTCATCTCCATGATGCAGAAAAGCCTCATTTTAAGCGTGTGCTAAAATCTGCTAAATAGCTGTCTTCTACTGACCCCAATTACCTCTCCTCCCACAACGAAGGGTGAGAACACATAAATCCAAAGCACTCCATATTTGATTAAACACGTTCTCACAACCACATTAAGTAGTATTTAATATGAGATTAAATTAAACTAATTTTTGAGATTAAACTTAAATATTTAACTCCTTTGAAACAGAAAGCACTGAAGCACAGAGACTAACCTTTTCCTCTCTGCTTTTTTTCTTTTTGTTCACTGAGCTTATCCAAGGGCAAGTTTGTCATCTCCACCCCATACACGGTCCTCGCCAGCACTGCTGTCAGAGAGTCCATGATGTTGGCCCACTCGGTTATGAGCTCCTCCCAGTCAGTCAGGGCGGACAGAACGCTGAGCAGCTCATCCCACAGCTCCCGGGAAATGTAAACGCTCAGGTTTGCTCTGATCCAAGCCACAATGAGGGTCTGGGAGGAAAAACACACGGGGTACTTCATGCACTTCTGACAAGGTGAATTCAGCACACCGGCCTGCAGATCAGCTTTGACAAGCCATGGTGCACACGTACCATGCAAAGCTATTTTTCATCAAAAAGCATTCCCAGCAATCAACGGGTAAATAACTGTGAAAGTTACTAAGGAAATCTAAAAATTCCAAAATGTATGTTTCAAGTGGTCTATAGGTCCCCTAGTAAACTGAAATAATACACTGTGTATAATAATAGAAAGAAGAACTATGTCCTACAGGTACAGGGTGATTGTAGTGACGGAGCTACACCCGCAACACGCTGAGCATGGTAAGTACAGCAGGATGCACAAATGCTTTTATCTCATTCAGTGGGATTCAGTTTTGAATTGCCAGCTGAACTTCTAGGAAAACAGTTACATCAGGCTTGCACTTTAGAGATACTCAATGAAGATTTCCCACAAAGTGACTGTGTGCCTGCCTGTCCTACCACAGCTGGTAACAGAGCCCTGAGGAACAGATCAAATCAATCTTAGGGGCAGTTTACAAAATAATTACTTGGGATACTACAAAGGAGAATTTTTTCATCATTTACAAGTAAGTTTGATAGTACTGTACAATACTACTTAACTAAAATTATGGGTAATTAGCATGAAAAAACAAAACCCCCCAAACAAACAAACCCCCAACACTCACTCGGAAAAGCAATCCTGACATGCTTTGAGCAAACGTATCCTTCATTTGGTTTTCTTTTGGCTTCTGCATCACAGCTTCTGTTATTCTAAGAAGTATCTGTAGCATCTGTTCCCTGATCCCAAAAGAAAATTTACTTTTTGTTCACATGTTCTAATAAAGGTATTCGTTAATTTTCATATACAAAAGCCTCCTCTTAATTCTCCAGTAAGCGTTACTTACTGGGAATGTGACCACACTTCAGACTTCACAGATCATTTGCAAAATAACATTAGCTGGCTGTGGACTGTAAAAACCAGCTTTTGAGAAGGTAAAGTCAGGCATGGAAATACCAGCCCTAGCCTTGACGTCGAACAGTGCAATGGTGTAGACGCAGCAGAACCTGCAATCTCACAGATCAACTCAGGGGCCAGTCACCAGTGGGAATTGTGTGGTCAGGTCACTGAAAAGCCAGCTTCTTCCCTGCCCAGAAATTCTCCCAGAAAGTTTAAATGTTGATAATTGTTTCTCAAATGATGCAGAATATATTAGGCTTACCAGGTCTTCCTATCCATTGACAGTTCCATTATCATGCGCCTAAAGATACTCAGAACTGCTTTGCAAGCATCCACTTGCTCCTTCAGCAGCACAGGGACTTCAGTGCACGGCTCCAGTAAGAAAACATTTGCTGAGTTTGTCAGGAACACCTTCAAGACAGGCAGGTACAGTCAGTTTGCGCAGCGTCAGGAACAGAGGGATTCAAAACCTACAGTAAAATACTTGTCCTCCTCTAGTCAAACCTTTCAATTCCCCTAGAGGAACTTTTAAGTTTTACCTATCCCTCTACTTTTCTACATCAGCCTAATGAAAAGTCTGATGGCACTTCAGACCCAACAAAGGCACGCACTGCACAGCATGGGACTCGCAGGAGCACTATATGCTTGAGCAACCACCTCTATTTCCAATACATGAGGTGCAGCAAAAGCAAATAGACAGTTCTGATTAATTTCTGGTACCCACAGTAGAAAAATCCACGAACCTTCTGTCTTAAAACATGGAGATCTGTCTCTATGACATGGTCCTGTAGTTTGATATTACTCTAAGTTATAGATGAAGTCTAAATCATATCTTACAAAGACCATCAAGCGCTGTTATTTGTTTCCCTTAATCTTAGAGAGTCTATTACAGTTTCTAGCGTGAGCTGCATCAGTTCCAGCCTTCCCATGTACCACACCTGCAAGGCAGCCTGAGCACCAGCTCTGACGTTTTTGTCCTCGTCTTCCAGCACACAGCCCCTGCTAACAGCACTGGTGAAGGAGTAGGTTCTGCCCCAGCTGGACGAGCGCTTGTGTCCGGAACGGTCAGAGGAGAGCTTCCAGAAACACCAGCCCGTTAGTGACACAGCAGAAAGGAACGTGGAGACATTCATTCAGAATCATTCCAAGTGGCAAAGGTGAGAAAGGGGAATTGCCATGTCCTACATTCACTTCAGCAAGGAATGCATGTCTGTTATTTCTTGATCGCTGAACAAACAGACCGTCCATGGGATTTAAAGGTTCATAAAGGTTTTTAAAGCTATATTATTTAAAATATTTTATATCACATTTTGCCGTTGCTGATTGCAGTAATATTTAAATTTAAGCCCGGCTTAAAAACTGCAACACCACCTCCCTCCAATAAAAACATAGTAAGAATTATAAAGTTTTGACAGATTTACAATGCAAACCTTTCTCAGATCAAAAAAACTTCCCTTTCACAGTGTTAAAGTCATCTTTTACTGATGGTTCAACATAGAACACTAAAAAGAACACAGATTTTGGATCTAGACTTAAATTTTCTAGGTGAAGGTGCCTGAACCCAAATATTTCATCCAGAATACACGAATGAGCAGATATTTTCAAATGCTTAAGTAACTACCACCAACAGGAGACAGTCCCACATGCACCAGTCCAACAGACAGTGTAAATTTTTACACTGCAGAATGTATTAGTATTTTTTTCCATTAAATTATTGCTATCCTATTTATATAGATAGAGAATAATAAACAAATTAGATTTTCCAAAAGAGCTGCAACTTTTCCATCTGCTCAATAAGGGGTACTGAACAATCAGTATTTATTTACATTTCTGGACCTTAAATAAAAGCATTTCTGAATCTCTGTTTTTCACAGATTTTTTTAAATTCTCACTTGTTTGAATCAAGTCTTATACAGTAGGCAAACAGAACAAAGCCACCGTGGTACCATACATGTTTCCCATCCGTCTGCACTGCTGAATCCTCTGAGGTGACCACAGCATCCTGCCCGTCCTCCTTTTTCTCTGGCTCCTCCATGAACACAGGTTTCTCCTGCAGTATCCACTTCCGATACACCTTAACCACTTTCCGTGTTGCAGACACATCAGAAGGTGGCAACAAAAAAGCCTGAATTGAAAAGTTAACTCATTTTACTATTTATAGCACATAGCTGTGGGTGCATATACATAAATACACCCCCACACCACCCCCCATAAATAATACAGCTCAAACCAGGCAGGAGACTTAATTTTTACTTCTATGTCTGTACCAGAAGATGCTACAGTTAATCAACAGCCTACACATACACCTACATAGCTCACAGTTCCAAATTATTTCCACATGGTATTTGTTCGGACAAAACCAAAGAGATGGTTTTGCCCTCAAGCTCCCTGGCTTAAGTTGGATCCACCTCACAAGCCATGACTAGCCACAGAGGACTGGCAGGCTAAGCTTAGCTACTATGCCACACTTTCTGGAGCAGGTGACTTCACAACACCTCAGCAGCACAGGCTGCAAAATGCCATTTCAGCAAGTGTGGGTAGAAAACGTCACCTAGTATTTAAAAAAATAGGGTATTCTGGCAAAAGAAAAAAGGTGATTTTGCCAACAACAAAAACACATATCATTACAAAACCACTGAAAGAGATAAAAATATATTTTTCATACTAAAAAAATTGGTCTTTCCAAGTAGGAGGAGATTACCCACTCGCCATGATCAGCAGGGCCAAAGGCTATAGCGCTGCACTCCAGAGTACTCACTCACTCATAGTGTATTTTCCTGTACCCAGTTTAGCTGCAAAAGCAGGGATCTTGCTCAGGCTGGGCAAAATCTTTGCCCTGTATGTAAAGTTCTTCTCCTTGTCAGCACACCCAACAGCTGATTTCCACAGAAATGGAAAGGTTAACAAAAGTGGGATTAAATGCTTGCTTTCCTACAGCAAGTATATGTGAAACTTCTGAAAATGTCTTCACAGACATTGTCCAGCTATTCCTGCACTTGGGTTCTGCACTTGCACTTTCTATTTCTTTTCTTGCACTTTGGGTTTTCTTTCCGTTTCTGCATCCTTAACCAAATAATTAAAAACAGAGGAAGAGCAGCTCATCAGTGGCATGAACGGGCACTGCACAGAGTGCTTTCAAAAAGCTAAGAAGTAGAATAGAAAGAAAAAATAATAATAGCAAAAAAAGAGCTGAAGAATTTACAGTGACTAGTGAGTGTCCTGTAAGGGAGAGATAAACACAAAAACGATTCCAATGCCATTATCTGTTTTAATTACTGAACACAGACTATATTTAATAGAATAAAAGTACTGCACCATGCTGGCCTTTGTCCCCTGGAAGCTGGTCCGACCTCCCATGCTCTGAGCATGCACCAGGAGAGGGCAGCATGCCACAGGGGTCCTTAACACATCAAATCACCCTTCCTGCCCAAGTGCCACCCACCCCTCTGAAAAGCACTGCTAACAAGGAGTTCCTACACTGCCAACATGAGGGACTTCACAGTAAAGCCCGTGTGCTCACTCAGCTGCTGGAGAGCACCTTCTGCCCATCGATGTGCCCTGGAATACTGCCTCAAACAATTTCTACCTTGGTACCAAACAAAACAAACCCACCAAACATCAAAGATTGGAACTCTCCAGTAGTTCCATATGTATTTTAATCCAAATAATTGAGAAGATAAAGAATACTAGTGGCAGCAACCAATGTTGGAACATAGGGGATGTGCCAGATTTAGGTTGGACCTGAGGTACAATTTCTTCTCCACAGATATTGCCCAGGGCTGTGCCAGGCTGCCCAGGGCAGTGGTGGAGTCCCCACCCCTGGAGGGGTTCCCAAGCCGTGGAGATGTGGGGTGAGGGACACGGGGCAGTGGGGACCTGGCAGGGCTGGGGAATGGTTGGACTCCATGAGCTTAAAGGTCTCCTCCAACATACAAGCATCTGTGACTATTTCTGAACAGACATTAAATACTGATGTGGATCATAGCAACAAGAATCTTACTATTCCAAATAATAAACTTGCCAGTCAATAACTCTTTACACATGTTTAAATTGCATCATAATACCAAGAACAAATAAAGTGGCTCATTCAAATAAGACATGTCATCTGGCATCAGCAACAAGCTTCAATTCCCACAAAAACATGATAATTTTGTTGTTGAAGCTAGACCCAGGAAGGACTCCAGGCTCGAAGGACGCTGGTGTGATCAGCATCAGATCTGACCTGACCAACAGCCTACAGAGCACTGGCTCTCCTGACCCTAACACCTCCTGTGGCAGAAAAGCACAGCCAGAGAGACCCCGACCTGCCGGAACACCTCGTTAACGAAGTTGACGTAGCCCCTCGTGGACAGCAGGATCCTCTGCACCATCTCGTAGACGCTGCGGTGCTGCTCCTCGATGCTGCAGAGGCTGGAGTTGCTGAGCCTTCTGTCGGACAGGGTGCTGCTGTTGGAATGGCTCCTCTCCTGCTCGCTGGCGTGAGACACACCCGCCTCCAGCTCTGCAGTTCTGTCCTGGCTTACACCACCAACAGTCTACACAGGAGAACACGTACAACTAATTAAATAGCTGAAATAGCACACACCAAAAATCTGAACTCGAGACACTGGTGCTCTTTTTCACACAACACACTGAGACCCCAGCAGTCAGGAGGTGCCATTTTCAGTCTGCTGTGTGATCTAAGAAGGAATTTGGTCTTATACTCTTTCATGACATACCCTTCACGTGGCCCCAGCCCGGAAGAGCTGACTGACCTGCCCGCTCCGTGCGGAGAAACGGCAGCAGGGGCAGACACAGCAGACAGGAGCCCCCAGGTCCCTTCGGTTTTGGGGAAAGATGGATCATACCACTATACACATAGCTCACACTCTCGCTTTATTATTCCTGACAGCTCTTTGTCAGGTTTTGTCCTGGCATTGTATGCATTTTGCAACATCTCAAATCACGCCTGACTAAAATGATCCAGACACAAGAAAAGAGAGGACTAAAAATCTGCTTTTGAGTTACAAAAAAACCTATGTCATTTGGAATGACATAGCAATTTATACAAATGATGGAATTTCCAATGAGAAAGAAAAGATCAATTAAAAAATCAGTAGGCAAGCTACACTCTTGCTGGTTTAGGGCCTCAACTTCTACAGTGAAGAACTCCAAAAACAATTGACATGAAAACATACAGCTCTACCCCAATAGTTCATGTATGCTTTTCCAATGAATCCAGATTTGACACTGACCTAGGATTCAAGAGAAGAACACAAGTTGACACTGATCCTAAATTTTTAACGGGAAGCTGCAGAGGCTCTTAAAAGAAAAAGCATCTATTTCTATAAAATTAATTGTGAAGTCCCTAATCCTGGAGGATCCTCAACCAGCAATTCGGAAGTGAAATATTTTTCTAATATCTCACTGTAAACAGCCGCTATAACCAAGGGGAAAACAAAGCAGCCTTTGATGTTGCTTGGAAACAGTCCATGGCACAAGTTTGACAGTTTACAGATTAAATTCCAAAAGCCTAAACATACTACTGATGACTGCCAGTAAGGCAAACAGCTACAAGAAAAAAAACCCTCAAGAACAACAAACTTCCAGTGAATTACTAAAGGGCTTCCCTGGGAGATTTCCTCCATCAAAGACAAAAATAATCAAATAACCAGATACATCATTTATTCCCTTAGGGGCAGCATTTCTTTCTTGCTTCAGCTGTCAGTGCACTGTGATTGTTTGGAAATTTAACAGTACATAAGAAAAGAGAAGTAAATGTTAAAGCACACCTGAATAATCCTAGGGAGCATTTCTCCTCCATTTTTTGCATTCTGAACAGCAGTTAAATATTTCTTTTCAAGAAAGAAGGTAACAAGCCACTTAATAAAAGCAACTCGAGCTGCCATATATGGAATTTTTGTGCTATAGACATTTTCATTGTTTCGTGTTGCAGTAATGTATACTGGTCTTGGTCTTATATCAGGAATATCTGGTGAGATAAAAAGAGAAGATACAAAGAAAATCTAGTCTTAAAAAACTGTAATTGTTTCCAGACATTGGTTAAATATATTGAACGTGTCACCAGCAACATTTTCTCCATATGAAATAATGCAAATGCAATGGCTGACTGCTTTTATTATATTAAAGCTTAACATTCTATCATAATTTTATGACTCCTGAAGAAAAGCAAGAACATAAAAGCACAGATCTTTCCCAAACGTTATAATTTGTATCACACAAAACAAAGGAAAGCAAAAGACAAGGGCTGCAAAAAGAAGGGCATAACCTGAAACAATATAAGTCAAGTTTCACAGAGTTTTGCTAATGAGGTAGAGTGAGAAAGAGAAGATGGCCCTGGAACACTCAGCAGTGCAAAGATCAAGAAGAAACAGGATACTCAGTGCATTGGAGAAGGAAGCTAACTCAGGTGCAGTAACACTGCACAAGCTGAAATAAAAGAAAGAAAACACATTGGAAGAGGTGGATGATTGCCAAAGAGAGATAGGCTGGGTCATAAATCATTCCAATGAATACATTCAGGGAAAAAAAACACTTGTACACAGCTGAAAAACATGGAAGGCCTGGGCTCTAGCTGCAAACACTGAAGTGGCACCAAGGTGATTTCAGACACCAAATATCAAAATGCAAAGGCCAAGAGTCAGAGGAAGGAGGGGAGCAATGATGAAGAGGAGGCTGCAGTACACCATGTGCCTATTAACACCATCGTTACTATGGACTCTGACAGATAATTCAGGAGAAAACTAGGAAGAATTTGAGAGTTTCTAAAATAACACGCTTTAAATCCTACACCTGTAGATATGCATCGCCATTTCCTTTCATTTGGCCCTTCATGCTCATTTTCTCCTCAAGGAAACAAGAAATAAAATAAGAGTAACTAAGTCAGTTACTCCCTCATGTTTGGTCAGCTTTCTGGTTCTTTAAAGAGCTCATCAGGGAGCATGTCCTGCCTTCATCACTTATCACAGCCACAGAGGAGAATCAGGCCAGTCCTTACACAGTGATGAGCAGCAGCAGCTTCCTGCACTACCTCAGAAAATCAAAAGCTGTGCTAGCAAGAAATCAAAACATGAGAGAAGGGAGAGAAAAATCCTCATTCAACACACCCGTAGTGATGTGCCAGCAGGTAACAGACACTGCTGAGAACAGTCACCATTACTTCTTTTTCTACTTAAAAGACAAAACTCACAACTTACCAAGAACAGGTTTGTAGAGGTTGGTCAGCTTTGTAAAAGATGGAAATAAGTGAGGAAGATAGTATTTTCTAAACAAGGTGAAGAGAAACTTAAACCCAGTGTCTTGGTTCTCTTTATTCTTCCACTCTAGGCTTGCAGCCTTTGTCACAGAGTTGGAGAAAAACAAAGCTTTAAGTTAATACATTATACTGACAACCATTCCACACTGAATAAAAAAGGATAAACTATCACACTTTAACAAGAGATATAAAAAATCAGCACTGTCCCAAAAACCTTCACAAACTGCAATAAGTGTGTAAGATACTACCATGAGGACTTAGCAAGCCCAAGCACGTTAGAAGTCAGCCTATTTCTGCTGCTTTAAAGCAGTGGAGCACAGTAAAATGTCATATTAATATTTTTAAACAAAATTTCTTCTTACCTGTAAATTTAGGCAAAGTTACTCTGGGCTACACTTTTAAGGTAAGGTTTTCATCAGCCACATACTCAGTGCCCACGTTTAACACGACTGCACTCACACAGAGTAACCCTTGGCAAAATGTGACTCGAGGCACAAGTGATCCCCACGGACAAGGCAGAGGCTGACGCCAGGCTGGTTCTAAGGGCACTCTCCTGCTCCTCCCCAAACCAACACTGACTTGCAGAGTCACACATGTACCTTCACAGCGCCCTTCACCAACAGGTTTGAACTGCAGTTCCTTGGAAGACTGGGCAAAATTTTGCTCTGTTCCATTTGGAATAACTTGCACATAACTGATATGGGGGTGCTTTTGTTGTTTGTAGAATAAAATCCCAGACCATTTCAAATCAGAAATGTAAAAGTAGATATTCTCCACAACAAAGCACTTTTTGCACTGATGACTTTAAACTACCTGGGTTTTAGTCTTTTGCATCTCTTTTTGTGCAACTCAAGTGAGTACTTAAAGTGTTTATCATTTGACATATGCTTCAAATTCAGGCCTACCTGTTTGTTTTTTGGTTTTTTGTTTTGTTTTGGTTTTTTTGTTGTTTGTTTGGTTTTTGTTTGTTTGTTTGTTTTTTTTTAAGTAATATCAAAAGACTACAGGATTCTTTTTTTTTTTTCTCCAGTAAAAGCTCTTCAAAAAGCCTGTCCAACTGTATTTTTTAGATCCCAAATATGTGGCAAGGGTATAAAAGAACCGTGAAAATAATTTTCACTGCGGCATTGTGAGATTCTGATAGGTAAAACAAAGAGTGCTGTGTAGGAAGCTGATAATTTCATACAGCCACTTTTCAAAATAAAGCATTTATTCAAAAAGACAAAACGCCTTCCAAATACCATTTTGGTCTTGCTTTTGATATAAAAATGTATCTCAAAGTATTTCATTATCTTTTATGTATCTTTTTTCATACTGAGTTCTTTAATATTCATTGTCTATATAGTTTCCACTTTATGTAAAATGTTGCTTAATTTGTACTTTTTAAATGTATACATTATCTTAACTTCTTTCCTATAGAGATTAATCTGATTTACTTCTAATTAGATTTTTGATGTACACGTTACTTGCATCCTTTAAAAGAGTGTCAGAAGCCATCTCCTTTTTTTATCTGTTTCTTAAGAAAGAGTGGCTCTTTATGTGTCTGCTCAGCTTCGCATGTGTCCGGAGAGAACAAGTTGTGTCTTTAGCTCACATCAGTTTTCTAAATGCTACCACAAGCAAATAAAACAGTCAGTTATTGTGCAACTTTGGGTAACATCCATTAATTCTTATAGCAAGCGTGAAGGATTTCTTATTTCCCCCCAAAACAGCACAAGGAAACACCTCTGGGATGATTTCCCTTTCACAAACAAGAATATGCAGAAGGCAGCTGCTTCCAGGGGAGGGGCAGAACCAGCTCCATAGAGCTGCAGTGCAGACTTCATTTCCTACCACGAGTACATTCTCCAAACATGAGTAGTTAAAAACCCACACCCTCCGCACCTGAATTACCATATATTTTAACAGTAGCTGAAGGAAGTAGCAGGTTTGGTCTTCAGCAATTTTCTCCCCAGAGACAGCTGGCAACAGTGGGGTTATTTCTTCTGGAAAAATCTTAGCTAAAAGAAAGATAAAGTGTTTTAAACATGGAAAACCTGAAAACAGCTTGATAAAAGATATTTTCATTAGGAAGATGAATTTGAAAATAATGAGTAGTGTGCTACTAAGCTGTACAAAGTCCAGCAACTGCCTGGGCTTCCTGTCCTCCTCAGGTCCTACTGCGTACAACGAAGAACAGCCCCAACCTCTGGCTTACTGTGCTTGGGAAGCGTTAACACAGGCAGTCACTGCAGATTAGCCAAGAAGCTGGAATCCTACACACCTACATTCATACAGCTGCATCTTCAAAAAAACAATCCAAACACACAACAAACGCCAACCATTCTGAGCTCAGAAGGCTCTACAGCTGCAACAACAGCCTGAGAAGTTCAGTACACCTCTGAATTCCCAAGCCAAACGGCACCACCCATGTGACAGCTTCCCCACAACAAACTCTACAGCTCCACAGAGGGAGGGGGAAGGCATTACACCAGCCGTGGAAACCGTGTGTAGCTACTCACCGTCCGGCGAACTAGGGGGACTAATGAGGTTATCTAGTGTACAGGGACCTCGTGAGGACATAATGGGTGGAAAGCCAGGCACAAGGCATGCAAATATTAATATTTGCTCTTCTGCACAGTTAGTCTGAAGTGCTTGAAGCCAGAGAAGAAACAGTCGGATTCCTTCACATCTTATCTACAAGGGGATGATTTTGTAGAAAAAAGATATTAAAATAAATTAGTAAGTACGGTAACACAGTTAAATAGTTAAGAAAAATGCAGGACAAATATTTTCATCCTAGCTATGTGCTAGTGAGGCTCTCCATCATACCATGAGGAAACCACATGATTAACTTGGTCATGAGCAGAGAAGGGTGGGAGCAAGCTATACCCAAGGCAGTGGCACTCCCAGGAGACAGCACTACCACCCCAAATCCAGTCAGAGGCCAGAAAGTCCCAGTCCCACAGGCCAAATCCACCTTGGGTAGCCTCAAGACTCAGCCTTAAATGGGTCTCTGGCAGTACAACAGCAAGTGTCACACACAGCCAGGGAGCTGCTGACGCTTTGTGAACTACGAAGTCTTGGCCCCACAGCGGTCAAAGGATTACAGTAGTGAAATATATGACTAAAAGGTGAATAAGTAAAATTACAGTTTGAAAAACACTCGTATTGGAACATTGCAAAGTAATATGCTTCATAAGAATGCAAGTGAAAAGAAATAATGAATACATCAAAGAGAAATACCTTGAGAGAATTTCCAGTGTGCAAAAGTTTCTTCAGAATCGACCCTGGATTAGAAAAATTAAATAGGCACATATCAGACACTAAGAGTCACTTTGCACCTGAATTTTTTTTTAAAAAATACTACAGAAAAGGCTAGTTTAATGCCATTTACTGAGTGGCTGCTGTGCTGGTGTTTAAGAAAAACAAAACTACGAGGTTAAAAAACCAAACTGAATATAGTTACAATCCTCACCAGTGTTATAAGATTAAATATACTGTATCTTTAGAGTGAGGTACTTTGGTTGTAGTCAGATGGCAATTTCTCAGCTTATTTTCCTTACGCATAAGATACTTAGGGGAAATTTTGACTTGCTCCATTTGGAGAGATCAACAAGTCTAACTTGTAGGATTAGTGTATTCAAATAGACAAATGCTGACAATGACAAGAAAAAGATGCTGGCAATCTCTACTACACTCATGTCTATGAACTGCACCTCTTAAAACTGCCAAATATTCTGATTATGGTTGTAGAAATAGCAGCCTAAGTGCCCTAAACTTCAAACGTTTGTCCTAAGCATTGGAGAGAGGTTGTACATTAAATGCTTCTGGAAAATTCCAATTCAATTTGAGAAAAATAGCATGGTGTAGCACTCAGCTGTTATTTTTCCTGGATTCGTAAATTGTGTACATGCCTTAAATGGGATTCTTCCCTCAAGATCTCACCACTTCACAGTACTAAATGTGTCTGCTATAGATATTAATAATTTCCATATTAATCCATGTGAACATTAAGCAAGAAGCAAATCACAAGGTACAGGTGTAAATAATTACACTGCCGAATTTTGTACCTCATTTAATGGACAGAGCTAAAAAATTATCCAAAAATGACTATTCAAGAGAAGCATAAATATAGAGAACATATTTTCTAGCATCAGCTAGAAAACAACTGACTAAAACAAACCTGTTTTGGACTAATTCAGGTGAAATGGTAGTAAAGTGGTCAAGCAGATGTCTCCGTTTATTTTTGTCAGTGCTAACTGGAAATGTGACAACAGCCCTTTCCTTGACCTTTAACTTCCACCCATTATTTCCTCTGCAACAGTGAATTCATTGTTCTGATGAAAAACATGGCAGCTGATGGAATAGTGCTGGAAACCAACCCAAATGACAACAAAAGAGCACTGCTTGGAAGAAATACAACACCCCCACAGCAGCATAAAATTTACTTTAACAACAGAATGAGTTGTGACCACTCTGATCGCGTTCAGAAGCAGAATTTTGAAAGTAGTGATGAATCAAAGGTGATTTAATTCAGAGGAAATTATCAAGTTAAACAAATTCCTTGGATTTCAAGGTGGTTTGACTATTAAAAATTACGTACTTCACTTTTCAATATTTCTGTGCCCATCTGACTCTAGCTTTATTTCAATCTGGTCAAATGAGAAGAGGAATAAATTTGGTTTTCTGGCTCCTGTACGTGATCACAAGGTCAAAATATCCCCTGTATAAGCACTGAAGGTCACAGGGAATACTTACATAATTAAAAAGTTGACTATCTTTAATCTAAACACAAAAAACTTTTTTCTCCCCATTGCATTCAAACTTAATTTTAAAACCTAAACCCCTATACAAACTATATAAAAACCTCTAAAAAACATGATAGTTGTTCAGAAAAAAAAATTAATCCTGCTTTTCTTATTTAGATTTCCAAAATTCATGAGCAACTACACCAAGGCTGTTAGGTATCTGTTATCTTCATGCTCCAGAGAAAACAGCTATAGAGTAAGAATATTAAGTGCTTTAAGCCAAGCACGCTGAGGGCATGCACTTTTATATGCTTGGCTTGCAACAGAATCTTCAGGTCTGGGCTTATGAAGCCTTTTTCTGCAGAATGCCTGCCCCACAAAGCATGCACGAATGGAAAGGAGACTCAAAAAAAAAAAAAAAAGGCAGAGTTTTACTAACTCCAAGACTCCTCTCTGCTGGACAGGATGATGACTCCCCCTCCCCTCGTTGCAGAAGCCAGGTATGTAAAGCAAATAACCCACATCACCTTGACAGCTTCTAGCACGTGAAAGAGGATAAAGGGAAGAGGACTCAGGTAAATCCAAGAATACAAAAATTTAAAGACCATTCATACAAAATTAAAATGAAGCAGGCAACCAAAACCACACAAGACAAGGAACACACAGAGCTGTTAGAGCAGGTAAGATATTTCCTATTTGCTGTGAGTTTCACAGGTAAGTGCTATTTGTGTACAGCTCATACAAATGGATTCTGTGGTTAACAGGACTTTAGAACCAGGGAAGTGACTACAGAAAACACTGATTTCATTTGTAGTAGAATATTTCTAAACCATTCTTTCTTACCTATACTGCGAAAATGCCATCGATAAAAAATCCTCTCAGGTAGTAGCTGCAATATTTTCTGCAGAAAGAAAACAATCAAATTTTCTGTAATAAACTGGCTCATTCAAAGGATACAGAGAAACTGATACACAAGACAGAAATGAAATGGTAATATATACATAGAGAACACAATAGAAAGCAAATACCTATCATGGTAGGGACTCCTGCCCATTACTTTACTCTCTTGTTATGGAAAAAGATACTTGGAATGGTCCTGAATAAATACCACAGCACCACCATGAACAGGGAACAGCTTCCCCCTTCCCTGCAAATTCCCACTATTCCCAAAGAACCCCATTTCCGCTGCAGAACTTAGAGGTTTCTAAGCAGCTCCCTCTGGGTCACATATTTCTGAGGCTAGAGTGATGGGGCTGGATCCAAGCCCTCAGGCCAGCCAAGGGGGTCTGCTCTCCCCACCGGGGCCATCGGCTCCCGCGCGCTCGGCCGTGACATCCTCTGCGGCAGCGCGCCACAGACCCGCACCAGGCTGCCTGGATTCACAGCACACCCAGCTGCCTGCCTCTAGTGCTGGACTGATCCTAACGGAGCCACATCAAACAAAGAACAAGGCTGTGGTCAAACCCGTTCCCCCCTGGCTGTGCAACTCCAGCACACGCTGCAGTGCTCTCCTGGATGGAGCCTGATAATCCTGGCTGCAACGGGCAGTCGGGGCTGCCAGATGTTCTTCTCTGTCAGTGTAGTGGATGGTAACGCTATTAAATATTCTGGATCAAAACTATCTGGGTTTCTAGACTTGGGTAAATAAGTCTTTTAAAAGAAATTTAAGTTAACAGGCTCCAATACACCTTCACTTCCCTATTTTTTCTTTCCCCTCTCTTTAAGCTATTAGCAGTATAGACTAGGGCTTGCCAAGTAGGTGTGTCAGCAGTACAGGACAGATAACTTACTGCTGCTCAGCCTCTCAGAGAAAGTGAGAGAACAAACATGGATTCTTGTAGAAAAATGTCTCAATATTTCAACATTTCAGCTGTTGAAACATGAAATTAAGAAGATATATTTGAAGGGGAAACTAGTTTTCAGCATCTACTTTTGGAAATAAAATTAAACTATATTAGAAATTACTAACAGAGTTCCTTCTAATTATCAAACAAGATCACTGGAACAAACTTCTGCACAACAAAGTGCCCTTAAGTTTTTCAGAAATACTACGTGCAGGATGCAGAATGAATGGCAAGTCACTCAAGCAACGGTGGCCCATTTGTTGGTCTTTTGCACATAAAAGATCACAAGAGGAAATAAAGCATCACAGCCAAGAAAGCAAGAATTGGCATTTTAGGGAATCCTTCAGAGACAGCCAACACATGAATGTCTCTGCTGTTAAGAACAGTATGCTCGAGAGATGGAACAAACCAGACTTTTTTTTTCATTTTTGACAACAAATTGCTTCAGAAACTATATATAACACTCAGAATAGAGCCTTTCTGAAAAATGGAACACTCTCCATGGTAGAAGATGGGAGTCAAGACAAGGTTATAGACTTGGGGAACTAGACCTCTGGGCACACAGACTGGTCTTCCTCATCTTCACCACAGCACACGCTCCCCAAATAGCATTTGGCATTTCTAGTTTACGTAGAATAAAACTACCCTTGGGGCACATCCCTTCTGTGTTGTGGCTGTATTTTGTTTTGTGTTCCTCCCATGGCTCCCTCCCCAGGACACCAGGGACTGAAGAAGCAGGCGGCTGGGGCCAGAGGCCTAGCTCTGGAGACTGAAGCAGCAGCAGTAAGAAGCAGTAAAAGTAGATCATTATACCAAATTTCCTTTCACAGTCCACGCTAATGAAACAACTCAACTTCCTCTGGGATGTAAATTCTCTCTCATTTGTTTCAAAACACTAACTTTTGAGAATCAACTGTAATGAGGTTCCAAAACACCAAGCACCACTTCTGTAACAGACTGTGTCATTAGAAATTTGTCAAAATCCGGTAATACTACTAGTGAAAATGTCTGTCTTTGTGTATGTCAGATGAGACAGTAAAATTCCTTACTGTAAAACAAACACTGTTTTTAGGAACTATGTCTGCTTCACTGAAGGTCTGATGCATGAACACCAGACACGGCCTATTTGTGCATGCTGAGTGGAAGCTTGTGAGAGGTACCCGAGGATGTACAGAGGTCAGTTTAGGGGTTCCCGTGCCCTCTCAGCAAGGTGCAAAGCACAGGGACTGTTACCTGGGAAAGGCCACGGTGGCACGTGGTGAAGGTGGCATCTCACACATTACACCAGTTCACCTCAACTGGGGCACAAGTGTGCTTCCAGAAAGTGAATTATGATAAGGCGTAAGCTGCACAAGCTGATAAAGTGGCAAAGCTGCATGAAAAAGATCCGTTTTGAAAAAGAACTTAGTAAAAACTATCACATCTGAGCATTAGTGAATTTTAGGTTATGCCCAGAGAATTTATTTTATCTTATTATTTATTATTATTTTTATATATTATTATATAT